AAGGTTTGAAATACAAGGTGGAGGGGAATGTGCTTATCTGAACAAAGTCGGAATTGGTAGTTCCACATGTTCCACAGAGAAGAACTGGATTTGCAGCAGACCTTCAGTCAATTGCCAGTGATGCTAAGTAACACTCCAAGCAGATTTCTCAGGCCAAGTAGTGACTGAGAATCAGTTTATCCTCTTTCAGTTAAGAGGAACATAGGGCACTGATGCAACCACACTTTTTAAAAAATGGTTTTGGACATAAATGGGTGTCAGGTGCTTGTAGCCAGTCAGGTCATCCAACTTTTTGCTGTTCTCCTCTATCTCCCCTCCAGTCATTTTAGGTCTGTCAGTGTCCATGTATCTCCCTGCCATGCTAATGGTGCAGAGTTCTCCCCCCTGCTGTTCCTCAGTGGCTGCATTAGCCTGTCTAGTCACCTCTGCTCTTCACTGTACAACATTCAACTTGCCCAGAAGCCACTGAGCTGTACAGAGAGCACTGCTCACAGCATGGAGCTCCGCTGGCACCATCTTCAGAGCTGGTGACCAAGTTGTCACCTTTTGGAGAACTCTCGTGACAACCTGCAATATCATGGACAAAGAGCACCTCCATAATGCATGTGCTACAAGCTGAATATCCAGGCCCTGACTATTGTGGAGCGTTTTCATGGACCGTGACTTATGGCAGGCAACCAAGATCCAGGTCTATAAGACAATTGTTATTCCTACACTCCGTTATGATGTGAAACCTGGGTGACCTATTGACAGCACTTCAAGAGTCTGGAGAGGTACTACCAACAATGCCTCCGGAAGATCCTTCGCATCAAGTGGGAAGATCGCTGCACTAATGCCAGCATCCTCACTGAAGCCAATATCATCAGCATGGAAGCAATGATCCTCATGCACCAACTCTGCTGGACTGGACATTGTGTGCGGATGCCAGACCCTTGCCTCTCAAAACAAGTCCTCTACTCTCAGATCACCCATGATCAGAGATCCCGTGGTGTCAGACAGGGCCGGCTCTAGCTTTTTTTGCTGACCCAAGCAGCAAAAAAAAAAGTGCCGCCCCCCCCGAGCCCCCACAAC